GAAATAAGAGAGAAATTCAAAGCATAAAACTAAGTCACGCTGTTTTGCAGACGCCTTCATTCCGGAGATTTCCTTACATCCAGTTTCTACCTCAGTTATAGAAATATCACAAGCAGGAATATTAACCGCAACAACAACAAGACAGAAGCACAAGCGCAAGGATTGTATTAGTTGCGACTGATTTTACTTCCCCACAATCACGGCGCGACTACCATATAACTAACTCAGGTGTGTGATACCTAGGGAATGACGGATAGGACACCGTGCCCAAAACGCCCCTTGAAAATGAGAACGTTACCTTCTAGCATTGACAATTTTATGAAGTGCCACGGTTTGTAAATTATTTTTAAGCTGACATTATAGTAAAATTATCTAAGAAATTGGGTGTCAGTTGTCATGACGGGCACTGCCAGTGGTTGTCAATGGTAAATACTTTGCTACATGTTCCACATATCTCATATTAAAAACTAATAACATGCTACATATTATTTAACTCATGCTTGGACCCGTCATACACAAATGAATACCGTCCTAAGTGGGGCTATATATAAACACCAAAGAAGACTGCATTAGGAACAGGCATATGACACATGACATAAAACTCAGACTTGAAAGCTGAGTAAGAATTATGGACTTAGTTACAACTAAACAGTCAGAAGTGAAATTGTTGTTTTACTTTGCAATTGCTTACCTTGAAGTACAAAGTAAACAACAATTTCAATATAACCTGTTGGTTGTATTGAACAAAAATATACTACTAAAAACTCTTAGTACATAACACAGCCGATTAAATGTATTTTCTATTCACTTAATGCTGGGTAATCAATATACTGTTTTATTCACCTAAGCTTAAAGAATGAATGTTAATAATTCACGACCATATAGCTATTACAATTGTTTCACGTCACCTGGTTGGCAATACACAACACTTAATTGTTACGGAGTTCACCTGATATCACCTCACCTGTGATTAGACTTCAACACGTACCTGTACAATGTATTCAATGTGACTTCGGGTCTGCTGATTTAACCGAGATTACGCAATATCTGTATATAATCATAAGCCTATATACATGTACCGGTACATACATGTATTGTGCTTACCACCCAGCTAACACAGAGAGTGATACATATTTGACTATCTTTACCTGCTTGTTACAAAGTACTTGGGCTGTTTTCTCGTAAATAGCACATTCTTAGAACATTTTAAACTCCTTATAACACTGCCAGTTGATTATGTGCGTATACTCGCTGTAATCGCATATAGGACAAGTTTCACCATCACCGTCTCCCATGTATAAGATTTATCATTAGCACAGGGTATAATCATAGTATGGAGGAAATTTCAAACCAGACCCTGCATCGATGGTTTATCATTTTTGTTTATATGGTGTTTCTGCAATTTACAGACAACGGACACTAAAGCTTATCTTCTTATTAATGCCATTGTACTTACCATGCTGTTCAGTCACACTTTCTCTTTTAACTACATTATGACGTCATTCCATGTGACCCCTTTTAAATGTCCTACAAGCACGCCAGACAAGCATACTGTGGACAACTGTATTTAACGTTATCAGCAGTGCATGACCACGGATCTCTGTTTTATCAATACAAACAGCAATGCCTCTTTGCAATCGGTATACGTATAGGAGAGCATGTAAATAGATTTGTCGAATGGACAGGGGAGTGCCACCCTATCTGTATGGGCAAAACGCGGCATTACACGGGCTTCCGTTTGTTATATTACGTGGAGAGCAAGCGTAAGAAGGGAAGTTAACAGACAACATTCATATAATTACACATCTGTAGATAGGGTGGGGAGTGCTGGTGAACACCAAGTAAATAACTCAAGTATGTGTGCCTGGGCTAGCACAGTTGTACTCGTTTCATTCAGGCATTGATCAAGTGCGTACATTTAATGGGGCCGTATATGTTGCAAGTACCAATCGATCTGTTCAATCATTAGCAACACGTATAGCAGTGCCTCAGTGTTAGTCTGGTCAGGGAGGTGGACCTCCTACATGCACATATACCTCCTTCCCTTATCCATATACTAACCGTTGGAGCATATGGGTCTTGCACCTGTTACACTGTGGCTATTCCACACGAAGTCCTAGCTGCTCTAAGCTTCTTGACTGTGCTGTTATTTTATAACTAGTGTCGTGTACCCCTTAGGTTACTTAACGTTAAACCTTCTCTCCTGGGGATTACCTGGCCGTTAGAACTAACGAATAGCCTTAGGAGCTAGCATTTGTGAGCACCTACTCTTAGCCTACATACCTTGCCCAATGCCCGATAAGCCTACTAAAGGTATATGAGGCAATACAATACAAGGACGAGAAGATTATAGAGCACACAGCATGCTGGCTTAGAACAGGCGTAGCAACGCAGCTCACCTGTGTTTACAACCCAGATTACAGCAATGATTGCACAGAACCACTCACCTTTGCTTTTCCTCATACACACACGTGTTCACATAAGAGTTGTAGTTGGATTTGTCCCTTCCCGAGGTACAACTGTAGAGTTTCAACATACGATTAAGCAATATGGCGGGTCCGAGTTGACCGCATCTTTAAATGGCCCAGATTCGTGTGGCAAAAGAATGGATAAACGACCTGAATGCAATGTCTGTTGATTGCTCGGATGACGGAAGAATTAAACTGGGTCAACCAAGGGTCGAGTCAAATCAATATTACAGCGGTGTTCAAAGCTACACAGCTTATACGTTATACGGTCATGTGCACGGTGTGCTTATAGTTTGTATCGGTAGGGGGCTAACTAACAAGAGAACGAGTCCTGTACCAGCACATAAATATTCTTCTCGGAGATTTAAAAAAAAAAAAAAAACGGATTAAAAGACCGAAAACATAAAAATGCATTTAAGAGTAAACGCAATGAAGCTTAGACGTTTGCCTAAAGACGTGCAATAGCATTGTGCAACACATTAATCTTGGTCGCGCTTTGTTATACCACAAGCACTTTTGATACTATTTTGTACTGCCTTTTTCACAGTGAGCGATATATTATTATGTAGCAATCTGTGAAGACTAAAATGCCCTTAATAAAACAATCTAGAAAAATGTTTTGCTTGTTTCATATATAATACATATGACTCAGTCCATTAATTAAAAGATTTTCACTTCAAATTATTATATTCTAGAACCACCAGCACTACAGTGTACAGAATGTTGCACGTTCTATTATGTAAACCCTACATGAAGCTTCATAACACATCATATAGTCCTGATTTAGAATGTACATGGTCATGAAAATGTCGTTTCACATCTAATTTCTTTATCACTGTCGATATTTACTAGTACAATTTTATAGCGCAGTGTGTACATTTAACATAATTTTACACTCGAAAAAAGAAGAAATAAAAATCCAAATGAAACGAACAATATGCGTGCTTAATGACAGGATTTCAGGCATGCATTTTTAATTAATTCTGGTCTTTACTCCTACATTTAAATTTACCATGATTTATGGATTTATGGATTTATGGATGAACGGTAATATCAACGTGCGCTAGAAGCATGACATGCTCCACAATCCCATGCGTCACAGGCAGCTACGAGGAGTTATCCTGGGCAAATTAACGAACAAAATTCATGTTATAATGAGCACATTTGCAGATCCGCTTCAGGTATAGCTCAGCGTTAATAAATCCGAATCATTTACATGGGTCTTGGAGCATGGTGTCATGTTATTTCGTTGAACGCAACATCGGCACGCAAATTTACACACGGATTCATTTATTTTTGAGAACATTCGTTTAGATAATTAAGTTAACGCTAAGTTTTTTTTTCTTTTCATCTTAATTGATACAGGTATAGCCCAGGCATAAACAAGGCAATTCCGCTCCTTGTGAAGTATGCCATAAGAAACGGAAAAAATCATATGTCGACCAAAATAAAGATTGTTTCACTCCATTCACTGAGTATAAATGGCTCCAAGTAAACATAAAGAGAACGCACAACACTTCCTTCTCTATCCCTTAGGTCATCATTAAAAGACTTCATCATCGGCATTAGTATGATCGTGACGCTTTTTTTTTCTTTCCGGCAGTGTTTGCTGCGGACATTCCGGCAGTTTTTTTTTTCGGTTCGAAGCTCTCGGTCGCATTAAAACTGTTATCGGTGATCCGACAGTTCGATCCTGTTCAAAATGCAAAGAAATTAAAATCAAGTGGCAATACAGATAATCTCTTTAAAGCCAAGCTATGCACCTGTCATTTTGACTAAATTCAGCACTGTTATTCCAAAGCTTTCCCTATTTCGCCATTTCAAATGTTTTATACGGCTGAGGGTTTGAGAGCGTTCTCGGAGTCGAGTGTAGGCCTACAGTTTACGTCATGTATCATATAAAAGAATGTGACATGCTCTGTGGATTGCCAGAATACAGTAGATCAGCTATAGCGTGACAGAATGGCAGTCCACAAGATGCTTAGTAAACTGTGCACAAGCCTCGTAGTTTTTGGAATTGTATTCGATCTCAACATGTGTTCAGTTCTCGCCAACGTCAACGGTGAGTGACAATACTGTTAGTTGTGCTTGTTGTGCTTGTGTTTAATTTGATGTATATTTATTTTTTCAATTATACCTTTATTGGTAAATTATATAACTTTAGTAAAATCATACTATAATTTTGTCTTACATTTGCTACTTACAGCATAAATTGATAGAGTGAAGTGATTTTCTTAAGTCAACTGCTGATATTGAAATTGCTTACCTCCAATATTTGGATGTCTGACTAGAACATCTTAATTAGAATATGAGGCTATCCAGGTGAATATTGCCTGATTAAATCTTTATATATCTATTTATGTATCTAACTTCTTGGAGACATTCCCTTATCACATCAGAGAGATAAGCAAAAGCTGTGCCTTTTTATTATAATCTTAAATAAACTAGCAAAATCTTAACCACTACCAAATGTTAAACAAACCGTGTTTTCTCCACAGAGCTCCGCCCTGAATCGATCCGGATCTACACCTTTACTGGCGCTGAACCGAGAGCGGGAACGGCGCACGTGGTCACGGCGACACTGTACAACCCAGGGGGAATTAACTCTACCGTAACACTCAACGAGAGAGAACGAATACACACAAATACGTAAATACATGTAGACAGATTATGGCAGATCATTTTGTTTTCCGCCAATATCCCGTTCAATATGTTTGTAACACAGTCATAAATTTATGAAATGGATACCTTTTATTATCCCTCCACTTTTGTGACAAAAGCCGGGGAACATGTAACCCCGCCTGCCCTTGCGTAAGACAGTACGTCTTGTCCTTTGGTTAGAAATTTCCGCTATCTCAGCCTAGACCATAAGAGTGAGAAACTTGATACGACTGGGACTGATAGATCTATCATCAGGGATGTGCATGGAAACTTCACAATTTTAATGTGCATTTGGGTGGGGCTGGCCCTGGTATGGGGGTCTACTCAACGCCAGCAGGAGGCGCATTAGTCTGCTAATCTTATTGCTTTCAACGAAAGTCCCCGCACTAACTAGTAAGTTAGATTCATAGTGAACACACTAATAGATATTTAGGGAATAGGGTCCCAGATATTTAGCTATTTTTACAATGCTGGGAAGTGCAGGGATATGCGAAAGCTACCCATATGTATCCTTTAGTCAACCAGTTGAATTATTTTTTCCCGAAAACAAATACAATCAACACGTAACACTTTATGTTTTCACTAAATTTTCTTATTAACATATTATTGTAAATTTTTTCAGAGTAAGCATTCTTAAAAATTCACATTTTAAATCGTACAAGTACATTAATTAATTTTTGTCTTCTTTATGCGCCTTTTAAATGGGATATATATTATTATACAGAGTAGGCTTCATTATAGCGCATTTCTCATTCTTATTTTAACCACTCCAGCATGAAAGTCACGTTATCCAGAGCGGTGGTAAATCCATATGCTGTGGACTGTATGGTGGTAGAAGTCAAGGACACCAAGTATGAGGACTATCGCAAAGACCCCTCACTTCCGGAAAACTGTTACCGTGGTAAATGCAGTCACGAACACGTTGACATCTGGTGTCCCAAACAGGTATATGACGTCGCTCACCGACCTTCTTTACGAAAAAAAGATGATAGAACCATTTATGCAGTAGCAACGTCTCTTGAATCGTTTGAAAGAAACAAAAAATGTTAATTTTGCGTAATTGCAGACAGCAACAAATGGATGTTAGGCATTACACAAAAAGTGAACATTTGAGGCACAACACAATTTCTGTTACACTTCCATTTCATTTTTAAATTTTATTTCTTTATACATTTTATATTATTTTATTTTTCTTTTTTATATTATTAAAAATGATATAAGATATACAGTGAACGAAGCCATATTGTTGCATCTACCGTACCGTAATTCACTGTCCCCGTGTTTCATAGATTATAAGTTAAAGTTCAGATAAGTTTTTTTCTTCTGTAGATCTCGATAGCTGTGGTAGAAACCGACTTTTCTAATATGAGACTACTAAACTTTACGTACGACGACTGGCTGGAGCCCGGGACACGCACACGATGGACGAAAGGTAATTTATAGGGACTGCGCATGCGCTACCATTAAGAACAGGAAATGAGTGTCATTGTAGCCTATGATTTAACTTATTTTATATGTATAAGTTATGTTTTGTACACTCCGTATCTTTTAAGATATAGGAGTTAAAAGTACCTCTTACATGGTATATCAACCGCTATATTTTCAAGCAAATTAATCATGCCAAAAAAAAAAAAAAAAA